TGGTTGGAGACCCACAGCTGCTTTGGATTTCTGCTGCAGTGTTTGCCCACCCGTGTTGTCGTGGCCCTGCAAGGACGACAGACAGCAGCCACATGGTGATGCCCACCACTCTCTCAGCACCGTCCTGTTCAGTGCGCCTGTGTGTGTCCTGGCTGCCAATGGGATCTCCTGATCTCCATCTGCTGTGGTAGCACTTCCTTCCCCCAAACTCGGCCAAAGCGGCAGAGCCGTGGGAGACTTTGCAAATAGGCAAAAAGTCCCTGAGTACCTCAGCCGCTTCTAGTTGCTCCACCCCAGACAGCAGCGGGTCTGTGGTTTTCCTCTTGCCGCCGACGTACCTATGGAAACCCTTCTTGTGCCCTCCACATCCTTTGCCATTTTGACTTTTGACTGCTTTGGATTTCATGACTACATCCCTGCATATGCAAGCAACCTTCCTCTATTCCTGTGAATACCCTAACCTTGCTTCCACTTCCCGTGCGTGTCCTTTTCCCATCCAAGCTCACTCAGGAGCTCCCCGTTCAACCAGGCTGGCCTCAGCCGCACTGCTTAATTTTCTGCGCGTCAGAAATGGCTGCTCTAATGCTTTGGGGAGGTTGTCCGTATTCGGCTTTTATGGCTCTGTTCATTATTTTGATTTTATGTTCAATTATTTGGCTTTATGGCTATTATTATTATTTGCCTTTTTGGTTTTCAGGTCCTGAATTTGTTAGGTAATCGTAATAAAAAAAGCTAAGATATTCTCCCATTTGTTAATAAAGCATCAATATTTTTAGAATGAACTTGAAACATGCGTTTGTATTCCTTATTCTATGCAGGATACACAAATCCATTAGAATTTTTAAATTGTTTCTAAAAAACTCTAATACACCAGGTTTCCACCTTTAATTCGGTAGCTTTTACTCCTAGCAGTTGTTTCAAACATCAGCCCAGGAAATAAGTATTTCTCATTAAGTGTTTCCTTGGGCTTTTCCCTGTTTCTTGTTTAAACAGTAAGCTTTAGAGGTAGAAATACGTATCATAATTGACTTTAAGAGTTCTCTTTTTTAAAGCTTTTTTCCACAATCCGTGTAACGTCAGTCTTTTCCCATCCCCATTGCTTAATTCACTAATGTGGGTCACCAGCGGGTTCAAGCACCCCCAGCTCCTGGCCAATTAGATCGCCCAGGCCTCACAGCTGGCCAGCCAATCAGCGTGCATATAAACACCGTGTCCAGTTAGGGCAGGCTCTGGCTTGTCTCTTAACAAGCGGATGGTGCTGGTGGCAGGTCCTGGAGCCCCAGGGTTTGGGAAGCTCGTGTGATGAAACGCAAAGGTAGTCAAGGGGAAGGTGCTTAGTGGGGCCATCTGGGCAAGCCCACCCCACGTGTTGCCTCTTGCTATAGCACCCAGGTGTTGGGACACATCTTTGATTTTTCAAAACCTGTTCTTTTTGGAATCATAGAGGTTATTTAAAAAAAAAACACCTAAAAGATGTATTCATTCTTAGGTGCCCACCAGGAGAGTGCAAGGAAGGGGCTTGTTTGGAATAGGTGGTAAAACTGATTAGAGTATCCTCAGCCTCTTTTTAAATGATAGTGCTTACCATCGGATGGGGTAAATCCCTCCAGGTACTCACGATCGATGAAAATGTTCTCATACCCCAGGATCCGAACTGGTTTGAACAATTGAGAGAGATGTGGATTAATTTAATAATCTTTTTTATTTTTGTGATCTAAGTTTGAATTCCGACTTCAAAATGAAAAGTTTGTGCAGTTATTTATTTCTGTTTGACTTTAGTATGGATTTTTTTTCTTTCAAAGCTATCCTGTTTCTGTGGTAGGAGTACCGAAACTCTTTATATATAGCAACCCTCTGTTTACAATGTCAGTATACAGCATCTACTGACTTTTCCATGGAATTAGGATTTCCCTTGAATCCTACTTGCTTTGCTGTAGCGTCTCTCTTCATATATTCTTCGTGCAACCTTCCTTTCATACGCTGGATTTTGACACTTTGATTCTGGGGACTTTCAGTTTACAGCACAGGAATTTGCAGATGACAATGCTTGTTTGATCCACGCAGATTACCAGTTCTGTTTTCCTCAAGGTGCTGTCTGCGCTGCAGAAAGACGAGAAGCATTGAAGGCTTTTACCTTTACACTTCAATAAACTACTTTCAAATTTAATTCTTTTTATTGTGGAGGGATTGTTTCAAGAGTGATAACAAAGAAAAAAAAATAAGATCAAGTGTTAGTTTAGCTTCCTGAGGCACTGCTAATAGATAAAGAGTTAAAATTGTTAATGTATTTTCATGTTACTACCCTATACAGGCAGAACCAGAAGATGCAGTTTCTATACTGGGTGATGTCTTGAGAATTACAGGGATTAAAGAAAACAACCTATGATTTGCTGTAAGAGGAATCTCATTCAAAATATATTAAAACTTTTTTTCTCCCCTTTATCCACGCACTTGAAAGTGTAACTTGGAGTGGAGAATCATTTCCTTTCTCATGTAAAAAGATTGTAGGTGGGTAACTTCATTTTTATGGGTTATGCAGAATAAAATAATGAAATTCTCAAGCAAGGCCTGGAATATATTCGCACTGAACCAAGATAGGATCTCTTTTTGCATGACTATTTCTACTGAAGCCCAAAAGCAGAAAACATCATTTAGCTGAAACTGTTGATATGCCCTTTGCCCTCCTTTTAATAACAGTGATAAGGTTAAGGCAGGGATGTTATGGGTCCGATCCATGGAAATAAAAGTGGCAGATCTGAGCGCACAGAAATAGCACAGAGATACAAGGCAGAAATCCATAAAATGTACTCATACAGGGAAGCATGTTTGAAACAGCCGATGTCCTCGTGCAAACATGCCGATGATACTTTCTCTTTCAAAAACTCAGTTCTTTTGTGTGAAACTTGTGATCAACCTGCCGCTCAATCGAAGGTTCAAACGACATAGAGTCTCTTTCCAGCTGTGATCCTTTCAGAACAAGTGCCATGCTGACGCTCTCTGAAATCCGTCCGTCCCATAAAAGCCTGCTTTAAATATTTTCATGGTTTTTGAGTTAAAGTTCTGAAGAAGGCTATCTGGGGGTTTACATTCAAGGTTTGGTTCAAGGGATAGGTCCCACTGCCCTAGTATCAGTTTTCTTTGGCTCTTAAATCTCATATTGACTAATATGGGGCAAGGCTGATCAACCTGGATGATCCTGGATTTGGGTTTTTCTTTTTTTTAATTTTATTTTTCTTTACTAACAAACCTGTAGCTTCAGAAGTTTATTTGCATGATGGTCCAATGGCAGAGTAGAGTGATCTCTGAGTTCATCTCTAGCTATTACTCATACTCTAGCTATTACTTTTTTTTCACATTGAGATCTTTTGGTAAGGCTCCCAGGTTTTCCAAATTATGTGTAAAAGGTGTTAACACCACAAGCATGCCTCCTCTGTGCCTGTTAGAAGAGCTGATTGTAACAGAAGGCCCAGAACTGTTCTAGGATCATGGAAGCTGCCTACTATCTGACATAACTATTTTTAATTTTAAATACTTAGCGGATAGCACATCTTTTTTCTTTCTGAATCTCCTTGCCGAAACTAATTGCAGACGTTTCATCAATTGTTCTTAAGCTGGAAGATTATTCTATTTTGGCATATTTTCCGTAAATAACCATAGCCAAACATGGTATCTATTTTTGTGTGCCAAATTATAGAAATTTCATATTCAGTCAAACCTCTGAAGATGCATAGAATATTCACATATTTTTAATAGCAATTTAATGAATGAAAATTTGGGCAATGTTTTGTTTTGATAAAGCTATAAATAGGTTAATTTACATGATGATTTACTCATATTTAATTATATATATATGTATTTTGAATCATTGTAACCTGAAGGGGTGCTGGGATATCTTGGAAGTTCTGCTGAAAACAGATAGCAGTTCAAAGTGAAAAAGAATATATAGCCGTGTATTTCCTGAAATATAGCCCTGGAGGAATTCGGCAGCGTTCTCAGGCCATTTGTACGGAAGTATGCCTCCTCAGATATTAGCATAATATTTTGTAGGGAGCAGTGTGGTAGCTGGCATACAAACAAGCTTGTAGAGCGATGCCCCAATTAGAGCAAAGCATATAGTAACATCCCTCACTTTTTAAAGGAAACTTAGTTCAAATGTTCAAAAGTAATTTATCTGACAGTAGCAGGAGTGTCTCCACAAACCTGTACATCATTCCTGAACTAAATTTACGCTTTTCTTATTTGCTGCACGCACTTTGAGGCATTCAGTGTTAAGGCTTACTCGTCCGGAGAGTAATACTGATTTGGTGACACCACAGGTTTTGGCTCAGGCACTAGTGACTAAGGTTTTGCTCTCTGTTGCTTCAACTTGGCACAAATTCAAGTGCCATATGACTGTTATACTTTAAATGGGACGCTCTAAATAAATTAGATCTTTACTAGCAAAAAGGGACAGAAAAGTGCATTGTGTCTATGAGTCGTGATTGTCAAAAAGTACCCCATTGTCCTTCGCTTTATGGCTTTCCACTCTAAAGGTACTACGTAAGTTTCTTCATCTGCTCTTCTTTTTGAGGCATTTCTGTCTCTGTAGGACATTATTTGCCATGATAGTGTCTCTTTCTGTCTTTTATTTATCATCTCCGTATCGCCACCTGAACACGTGTGACTCATTTTCTATGATCCTGAGACATTCTCTTATGGGTGGATAATTGTTTTTCCTATCAATAGTATCATGCTAACTTTGGCTTTTTACCTCTTACTGTGCTTC